TAATAATAATAATAATAATAATAATAATAATAATAATAATAATAATAATAATAATAATAATAATAATAATAATAATAATAATAATAATAATAATTGTGATTTATGTCATCCTTTGCTGATAATGCCCCTCTGAACTCTACATAGGATAAACGGGACAACCTCTACACAAAAGAATTAATGGACATAAATGGACATAAATTGGACATGAAGAATGGCAATATGCCCAGAAACCTTTCTCAAATCACTGCATTCTACCAGGACATTCTTCACAAGATGCAAGTTGCTAGTTTGGAGAACAAGGATCCAAAGGGAGAAAAGTGAGATAAAATATATAGACATACTGGGCACCTCTCTTAACTATTTCAATCTTACTCAAGGGTTCTTGGGTGATTACCAAATGTGAAATGCTACAATAATTATGTTGTTATCTGCTGTTAATTTACCATAGTCTGGGTTCCTTCCCAACCAACCATTGCCATTTTCATAGAATGAGCTGTGAGCCAGGAGGTGAGACAGAGGCACCTCTCACTGGAGCGCCATATTTTCATAGAATGAGCTGTGAGCCAGGAGATGAGACAGAGGCACCTCTTGCTGGAGCGCCAACTATTCCCACACAGCAGAGAGGTGGGGAGAGAGGTGGGGACTGTGAACTGTCAGCTCCCTCAAAGAATACGTTGGAGGATTCCCTCAAGGGGATCAAGAGAGAAGAAATGTTCTAGGGCCAAGGGGGGATGGGAGAACTAAGAGAGCAGTTAGAAAAGATGGTAAACGAGGAGGAGGAGGAGAGTAAAAGGACAGGGATAAAAGATGGGAGAAAGGAGGAACACGGGTAGTAGTAGAAGCAGGAGAAGGAGAGGAGATAAAAGAGGAAGAGAAACTACCACCAGGGTGGGAATGGATCTGCTTAGAATATCCCTGGCCTCACAGGTGGAAGAGATTGAGAGTACAGTGGTGCCTTGCAAGACGAATTTAATTCGTTCTGCGGTTAATGTTGACTTGCAAAAAATTCATCTTGCGAAACGCGTTTTCCTATAGGAATGCACTGAAATCTAATTAATGCATTCCTATGGGCAAAAAAAGTCAGAACAAAGTCAAATTAGGTTTACAAAGGGTTTATTAAGTGCTCTTTAAAGCCATACATATTGTGCAGATGATTTCAAACATAGCAATAAAAAAACTTTAACTTTTTAAACATAATAGAAAAACATTTAAAAATCAGCAAACATGAGGCTGGGAAAAAAAAAAGGAAAACATTCCTCTTGGGAAGCACGGCCGTAGGAACATTTGTCTTGCGAGTCATCAACCCCCATTGCCAAAACCATTTGTTTTGTGAGTTTTTTGTCCTGAGAAGCATTTGTCTTGCCAGGCACCACTGTACTCCAGGAAGAAGCAGACCATAGGAGGAGATTCCCCCAAAACCTTCATACTGGGGAGAAACCGAGGCGAGGGAGTGGAGAAGGATGTTAAGAGAGGAGAGAGAGAAAGCAGAACAGGAAAGGCTATAGAGGATAGAATGGCAAGCATGGGAGATGAGGAGGAGGCCAGGACCAGGAGAACCTGGGAAATCATGGAACCCGGGGAGAGGACAAAATGGGAGGAATTTTGGGGAGAAAGATCCATGCCCCTGTTACCTGTGTCGACGGGGACAACAATAAAGGACTGGATATTGACTGAGCAACCGGGCCCCTGGAATTTGAGTTTTGGGAACCCTTTCACTCAGGAAGAGCGGAAACCCTTTCCGGCCCAGTTGGAAGGAAAGGAGAAAGCCTATGCTCTAGTTGAAGTAAATTGTTTATTTTATACTGTAGTTCTAAAATAAATTTTCAGCCATTGCAACCAAGGATGGTGTCTGTGTTTGGAGATGTAGGAATATGAGAGGAGGGGAGACCACTTGAGATTCAGCCCTCACCTTCACACAAGCTTCAAAGGTAAAGTCAAGAATTAATGCTACAATGATTAAGTTGTTTCTGCTGTTGTTGTGTCTAACCTGGGGTTCCTTTACCCAATAACCATTGTTGCTTTTTACAGAATGAAACTTGAAATGAAAAGAAATGAAAATGAAACAGGGATCTTAAATCATTACCAGGTGTGAAATGGCACATTGACTCAGGCAATTTGCAATTTGTGTCTCTTTATCTTGGAGCCATGTACAAAAGATTGCCATGTAATCTCACTTTTATGTCTTAGCAAGTGGACTTGATCCATAAAAGCTCACATTAAAAAATATAGCAGCTAGTATTTAAGGTCTCAGAAGAACACTTTCCTTCAGCCTTTTCCTGCACTCAGACTGGAATGTATTATTAATATTAGGATGCATTTTTATCGTTAAATCCTTGTGGATAAATGAAATTATTGCTCCTTTAAAACCAAGGATATGGGGAAATGCATGCAAAAGCTTTTCTTGGAATTATTCAGCACATTTAAATAGATTTTTTCACTGCATAGTGAAAAGCCAAAGCTTGAGTTCTCAAAGCACCACTTTTGATTCCCTAAATGGAAAATGAATATCATTAT